CAGTATGGAGTTGTGATCGTAGACATCAATGGAGTGAGCCAATGGACCCTGCTACCTTTTTATTATCTCTTACCTCCTCCATTGCGCATTGGAAGCTGCAGGTAATTTCATTAAAATGATACTGGCAGAGCAGTAGGTTTAGTAAAATGATATATCAAATCTGTCATCTCGTATTCCTTGTTTGTTTGTTTGTTTGTTTGTTGGTGTATAATTTGATGTTAGTGCAGGGAAAGAAGGGTGTTTGGATCAAATTGCCTATAGAGCGAGTCAATCTTGTAGAAGCTGCAGTCAAGGTCAAGCTCCTCCTAATCTCTTCGAGTATTTATGCTTTTGTTATTATTCTTCTTCTTGCTCTAGTAGAAAGGATTCTCCTATCCTATCCTAGTATTATAGTGTATATACCCTTAAATTTCAAGAAGAACTCAAGCACAGGTAATAAGAGAACCTGGCTCTGATACCATTGCTAAAATATGAATATGGTTTGAATACTTTGGGTTGAATTTTATTCTTCTTCATAATGAGGTATATATATGAGTTTACATATGAGAGTTTTACAATGAATTAGATATAGTAAAAAAATTAGGAAAGTATCTCATAATTGTACAATGATTTATCACTTATATAAAAAATAGGAAAGTAAATCCCTTAATTAATCAAGGAAGTAAATCTCTTTGATTAATTAGGAGACTCACGTCAACACTCTCCTCCCCTCTTCTTCAACGGGGAGAGGGGGAGTGAAAATGTTTATTGACGTATCCCCATTACCTTGACGTAGTCCTATGAAGATACTGCATATCTCTTTACTCTGATGACCCCTTCTCTTCAGAAGGAGAGGGGGAGTGAAGAGAAATTTTTTTTGTCTCTAAACCCTTATCTCAAATTTCTCATATTCAAATCCAAAACCCTAAATCAAATTTCTCATATTCAATTCCAAAACCCTAAATCAAATTCCTCATATTTTTTTCCCCAAATTCAAATCCCTCAAATCCTCTTATCCAAATCCCTAAACACATACCATCAAATCTTATACACATACCTCTTAAATCCAATTCTTACATCAAATTCATACATCAAATTCCTCACCTCAAATTCCTCACCTTCTCATATCATATCTTACTTCCGCTGCAATGTCAGGAACGCCTACGATTCTCCATCTTATTGCATACTCATAGAAGCATGCGGTCAATCCTGCTGACCTGACTACCCAGACTCTTCTTCTATCACCACCACCAAAGGTTCTACTCTTCATACATCTTTCAAGATTAGATTTTACATATGCTGTGAGTGTGGAAGAGTATTTCATGACTCACTTACCAAGTTGGGCATTCGTGATATATATGCACCAACTTGAGAAGGAGTGTTGACGTGAGTATCCTAATTAATCAAGGAGATTTAATTCCTTTATTAATTAAGGGATTTACTTTCCTATTTTTTATATAAGTGATAAATCATTGTACAATTAGAAGATACTTTCCCAATTCTTTACTATATCTAATTCCTTGTAAAACCCTCATATGTAAACTCCTATATATACCTCCTTATGGAGAAAAATAAAATTCAACCCAAAGTATTCAAACCATATTCATATTTTAACATGGTACTAGAGCGGGTCGGTTGATTGGGCCCGATGAAACCCAAATCAAACAAACAAAACAAAACAAAACAAAAAAAACCTCAAATTAAATTTTTTTTTTTTTTAAAAAGTGACTGATGTGGAATTGGTTGCATGTGTGGCACACTAAAAAGTGGTCCCACGCGAGGAGGAGTGTTGAAGAACACACGAGTCCCACATCGGAAACTTAACAAAATAGAAAGTCTCATATAATAAATGGTTCCATTCCTAATAATATCGAGGCTTTTTGTATAAAAACCCCACATTTGCTAAACAGGTGGTTAAGTTGGGGGCAATATCGATGTTGCTAGTGGTGGGTCAAAAGTCCATCCCTCTGAAATCTTAACGTATATATACACACTACTTACTATATGTTGGGCAGGAGTGAATTGCAATTGCAGAAAGGATTCTGGGACCACAATGCGGAGCCTAATTATTTGATGCTCATGTATTGGATTCCTCAATCCGCTCATACTCTTCCTGCTTCCTGCAAATGCCACGCACCGAGTGGGTATTGGTGCATTTCTCATCAAACATAACAGAGAGGTATACTTTATTCTAGGATAGGGTAATACCTCACCCACCATTTATCATTTTATATCTTGTGAAAATCTTTACTGAACCAAAGGCATTCTTGTCTAATTAGCCTCTACATTTAGCACTATGCCTTTGCTGCTTCACCTTAACTATCAATTTACAGTTTTCACTTCTTGCACTCTTCATTTGTGTGTGTGCGTGTGTTTATGTTCCATCCCTCCCTAGAACAGTTCAGCTGAATAAGCGGGTTTATGGCAGACAGGGTAAAAGTCTAAAATGTTTTATTCTGATTATCTGGACTTTCATACTCCTACGATTGGCTTATAATGTCTAAAAAGTTATGTGTGATCCATTTATTTTAATGTTCAGTTGACCGTTACAATGCTTGAGACCATTCAATGTTTTCCATGATGTTGCTGTCTTGGCTTTGTGAAATTTCAATGCTAGGTGCTGGTAGTCCACGAAAAGGGTGGACACTATCGAGGGACGGGTGTGTGGAAGCTCCCTACTGGAGTTGTTGATGAGGTGTGTGCATTTCCTACAAGCATTGGTTTTTATTCTCTCAGAGCTTCAGAGTGTAGTCTAGTCTAAACCATATATTGAACTTTATCGCCTCCAGGGAGAAGATATCTTTGCAGCTGCTGTTAGAGAAGTCAAAGAAGAAACAGGAGTAAGTAGTTACCAACTTACCATTGAATTACGCGTTCATTAATTTGAGTAAGTGTAAATATTAGCTTATCAATGCCATTTTCATTCATGCTTCTGGTTTTCCTGTTGTTTCAGATTGACTCAGAGTTTGTGGAAGTTCTAGCATTCAGGTATGAGAGTTAAATCTTATGGCGTTTCTCTTCAAGTATTTCTGATGTTTACTTCTTGGTTCTTCTTCTTTTTCCTTCCCTTTTATGGAAATTTATACTTGTTAATGTTCATATAATTTGCAGACAAAGTCACAAGTCGTTCTTTCAGAAGTCAGATTTATTTTTTGTGTGCATGTTACGACCCCTCTCCTTTGACATCCAGAAGCAGGAACAAGAGATAGAAGTGGCCAAGGTAATTTTTGTTTGAAGGGGGATAATACAAACGAACTTTGCTTTTATCTTGACAAGATATTAAATCACCCTTTCACTTGAGAGGATTTTTCAAAAACTCCGCTCAGTTAACAATCTAGAATGACTGCTGCATAAATCTTGGATGAGAATAAGAGAAAATCATCCCTCCGTATGATACTAAACCTTTTTGTGAATTGTAATGGCTTGGCTTGCAGTGGATGCCATTTGAGGAATATGCAGCCCAACCATTTGTCCAGAAATACGAGCTTCTGAAGTACATCCATGACATATGCAAAGCAAAGATGGATGGGAAGTATACTGGATTTTCTCCAGTGCCCTCTACAAGTTATTCTGTTCAGAAGAGCTACTTGTACTTGAATACTAGCACGGCATCCAGGAGAGAGGGTAAACTCTGATGATCAGGGCTGCATAAATCTAAGCTCCAGTGAGAATATTTAAAGAGAGTCATAGTTAAATGACAAAAAAGAAAAACAAAAGAAAAGAAATTGCATTGTCGATGTTGAGCTCTGTTTAAATTACGTGTAGCTGTTCAATAATCTCTTCGCAGGATTGGAAGATTTTTTATTTTTTATTTTTCTTTCTGTAATGCTAATTCACATCCTCAAAGTCGAAAGGCAAAACTCTGGAAGCAAAACAGGCCCGCAACGAACGGCCCATAGCGACCGCACGCCCGCCCATGCGTCTATAAAATGCATATGTTTATAAAAAAATAATTAATGTAGACATTAATACTAAATAAGAAGTTGATTAGTCATTAAATGCAAGGTTTTTTTTATCACAAAACGTCCCTGATGTTTGTGAAACTATTAGATTGCATTCTTAAAGTTTTTTTTGTATCACTCATGGTCCCTAACGTTAATATGAATGCTCTTAAATAATCCATATATCAAAAAAACTGTTAAATCTAGAGATATAATCGTCAAATCAAATTTATCATATTCACTCTAGAGTTTGCTACGGCCATGCTAGTTGCCAGCTGCTCAACTGAACGAGGCATGCCTAACGAAAATGGCAGCATCTCCTGATATGTTTGCAAGCATCTCTGAGCCGATAAAACATTGGCCCATACACCAATAGCATAATCAAATGGCTAAAGGAGCAAAAATAAATGAGGAAATATAAGAAATGAGCATTTCCTTCATTTGATGAAAAACTTGCTAATCAGAATCAATGAGCGATGACTTTACAATTACATGTGTCGATGTTCAGCAGCAGTGCCAAGCATATATATAAGTTTGAAGTTGATCTGGAAATTTGACTTTTAGTGACAAAAAATCTGAAGAGTACCGTCGCAGAAAATGTTTAGCCACGAAAAACTGATGAACATCCGTCGCTAAAAACTTTTCGTAATGAAAAATCTTCAAATTTCCGGACAAAACAGCAACTGAGTTTTTTGGGTTTTAGGTCCTTTTTTGAGCTTCAAATCGTCCTAAAACATAATATAAGCAACTATTGCACACTATTGTTCAACATGTGTTGTTTATAGTTCAATTTGTTTATGTTATTCCCTTCCATTTTCAGTGCTTACCTTTAGTTTCCAGCCAATTCCAACAAGAAATGGAGGGAAATGGTTCCAAATTGGTAGCAAATGGGTCCGAGGCATTAAAGATGTGAAAATGGATTGATTTGACGATTATATCCCTGGATTTAACAGTTTTTTATATATATAAAAATGACTATTTAAGAGCACCCATTTTAACGTCATGGACCATAAGTGATACAAAAAAAATTTAAAGATGCAATCTGATAGTTTCGCAGACGTTTTGTGATAAAAAGCCTTAAATGCAATTACGGATCAAACAGTGGCCCCAGGTGGCAGGTGTTCATCTTCTTCATCATCATCATTGACATCGAACCAACACCATAGATGGCCGGCGAAAGTGAAACAAGTGTGAGTACCGAAAGTGAGGCAAAGCGACTGGTCGGTACCAATGACCCGTACGGCGGCGTGATCGTCCACATCAATGAGCCTATGGACCCTGCTACCTTCCTTTCTCTTATTACCTCTTCAATTGCGCATTGGAAGCTACAGGTAATGCCATCTAAATATCAATCGGATGATTATGAAGAATTCTAATCAACTTCAATCTCAAATTTCTTCCCCAGTAAGTAGATTCATTTGTTGATTTATGCTTTTATATTGTGGGTGTGGGTGCAACCGTGCAGGGCAAGAAGGGTGTTTGGATCAAGTTGCCTTTAGATCGAGTCAATCTTGTCGAAGCAGCAGTGAAGGTCAATTAAATTCTATGATTAATGGTTAATTATTTAAAAAATGTTATCATACAACAAGAAGTAGTTAATGGATGTTGGGCAGGAACGGATTGCAAATGCAGGAAGGATTCTGGTACCACCATGCGGAGCCTGATTATTTGATGCTGGTGTATTGGATTCCTCAGACCCCTCATACCCTTCCTGCTAATGCCACCCACCGAGTAGGAATTGGCGCATTTGTCATCAATCCTAACAGAGAGGTATATGGATAACTTAACTCTGCTGTCTGCTCTGCTTCCTGGGCCACCATTTATCATTTCATCGTTTTATCCTCTTCATCTCAATTTCAAGTGTTTTTCTTCGTATAAATTCCAGAAACTCGTTTCAAAAACAACATTTTTGGATTGTACGGTTCTAATTGTTTCAGATTTACTATAGTTCAGCTGAGTCAATAGGCGTGAGCTAGTCTTTAATATTGCATTTGGCAGGGGCTTAAAGAAGGCATTTTCTCTTAGTCCTAATATTGCCTTACTGATTCTCAAGCTATTTGACATCGGTTTTATTTTGTTTCTGAGATGATCAGTTTCAGAAGGGTTCCATATGCACCTGCAATGCTTTGGACTTTTCACTACATTTGTTGTTTTCTTTGACTCTGCTATAATGGCTGAAGTTTCTGGGTTTGTAAACATTCAATGGCAGGTGCTAGTAGTCCAAGAAAATAGCGGACTGTTACGGGGGACAGGTGTATGGAAGTTTCCTACGGGAGTTGTAGATGAGGTGTGTGTGCATTCCAGGAGGTATTGGTTTTGTTTTTCAATGCAATGTAGTGTACTTCAAGTCTAACCAATGTATTAAACTTTATCTTCTCTAGGGAGAAGATATTTGTGCAGCCGCTGTGAGAGAAGTCAAAGAAGAAACGGGAGTAAGTTGATACTATGCAATGCAGTTACACTTCATCAATTTAAATGAGTATTCTTTCTTCATGCTTCTGGATTTTCTGTGGTTTCAGATTGACTCGGAGTTTGTAGAAATTCTAGCATTCAGGTATATATGATGTTTGCTTAAGATAAACTATTTTAGTATAAACTTAACCTCGGGTTCAAGACTGTAAATCAAGTTGAGACACTTGCAGATTCATGAACTAAAATATGACAGTTCTATAGAATGACTTGCAATCATATAGGACTTCATTTGTATAATCTTGAAACTAATACATGACAACCAAGTTTTAACACATTTTATACATTAGGCCCTGGCACCATGCTTCCTTGAATATTGTTGGGTTTAAAGATTTCTGAATGTTCTTGACTGCATTAAGTTAGAAATTTGAATTCTTGTTCCTTTTCTCACAAGTTTATTGTATGGTTCTCATATTGCTCATTTTCTGATGTTTACTTTTTGGTTATTTTAGCTATTCGGAAAAAAGTATATTCTTCATACCTTATTCTTATAATTTGCAGACAAAGCCACAAGTCATTTTTTGAGAAGTCAGATGTATTTTTTGTGTGCATGATGCAACCCCTCTCCTTTGACATCCAAAAGCATGATCAAGAGATAGAAGCTGCCCAGGTAATTTTTGGTTAAGGGATGGTAATACGAATAGGAGGAATTGCCAGAAACTCATTTAGTTAAGAATCCAGAATGTGTATAGGTTTTCAAGTCCTTATGATAATTTTCTTTCCTGTTTTCCCCTGTGTAAAGTTCTTGAAGTTTATTCTATATTGACACACATGTTTGCAATGGCTTGCAGTGGATGGCATTTGAGGAATATGCAGCCCAACCATTTGTCCAGAAAAACGAGCTTCTAAACAACATCAATGACATATGCAAAGCGAAGATAGATGGGCAGTATTCTGGATTTTCTCCAGTACCTACAATGAGTTTTTCTGATCAGAAGATGAGCTACTTGTACTTGAATGGTAAAGCAACCAAGAGAGACAGCAGAGGTTGATCATCAGCCCTTGAAATTCTACTCTAGCAAGCAAGGGAGTTTTTTTTTTGGGTTGTAATCCAACAAATTATTAAACTATTTGTGTCTTTCATCTTTCTAAGAGATACTGATCGTTCAGATCAGATCCAAAAAAAAAGAAAGATATACTGATCATAACAATCAGAACTTCTTTGCATTGTAACAACCAACATTTGAAGAGAACCATGGTTTATTAACCAATCACCAAAAAGAAATATTTGCATTTTCTTCTGTCTGATCCTAATTATTTGTGAAGTTTTTCTGTTGTGTTTGCGAGAATATACCGACGATAAGGATGTAAGACAGTATTGTGGTGAGGAGTGAAAACATTAAAAATAGCTAACCCAATGGCCCATGCAGGTCTCGAACCTGCGACCTTCGCGTTATTAGCACGACGCCCTAACCAGCTGAGCTAATAGGCCGATTTGCTCAAATTTCCATTTATAAACCACTAGGCTCCGCTGCACTAAATACTGGAACGTCTCCCTCCCAAGTCCCAACACCAATCAAGTATTTGCACCGTACGTGTTCATTCATTGTGCCCCCCAAAAAAAGAACGATGAATACGAACGTTTGATCCAAAAACATATAGAAAATAATGCTTACTTCCTTTCGCATCTAAAAAAAGAATACAACACGTTATTCCAAAATTTGGAATTAAGGGTTTGGAAATTGCAGTCATCTTGTACGCCTCTCCTCATATAATTTGGAATAGACCAACCTTATCCGCACGCAGTACACATAGAAGCGGGGAACAAGAAAACGCACAGTTAGCTAATACTATATAGTATGGATATCCAAACAGTCAAACCCTACCTTGGTCTCCATGCCTTATAGACTAGAGGGTCCACTACCAGATCCATAAAGATAAGGATGATGCCCTTGACCTTGATGATGATGATGATGATGATGTTGATGTTGATGACCCATCATCATCCCACCATACATGTTCATCCCAGGTGCATGCAGGTGCTGCAACTGCTCACTCTGCCTTTGATCATGATATTCATGAGGATGCGTACAGCAGCTGCCTAGCCAATCCTGTTCCAGCAGTCTTCTCACCCTCCATCTCTCTGAACTTGTGCAAATAAATCTTGAGAGGCTCCACGTATTCCTTAAAACACAGCGTCGTCATGGCCCACAATAGATCGTCACCGTTGATTGTCTTCCTCTTCTCCCTCCGGCAATTACCCGAGGCCTTTCCCCTGGTGAAGCTGATGAACTCTGAGACACACTCCTGCACCGTCTCTTTGAAATCTTGGCGTTGCCTGGCAAACCTTTCTTCATCATCCTGCTCACGTTTGCAATCGGTAAAAACCTGTCGTGTTTTCTCGCTGAGGATGATGAAGATCTTGTGTAATTCGTTTCTCCTCCTCCCTCCTCCTGCTCCCGAGTCGTTGTCCGAGTCAGCGATATATATCTATATGATATAGGGAAGGGTTTTTCAATTGAAAACAGTAACTGATTCATTTAAAAATGAATTAATGAATGTGAATTCTAGATGTATTCAGAGTTATAGCAAAGGAAGTTTTATATGCTAAATTCAATTTTGCTAATGCTCTGCCCTCCTCTTGGAGGGGTTGGATTGCTTTTCTCCTAGCTAAGCTGGGATCTTGAGGGATTATATTGATCGGTCTCTGATATGTGGAATGGTCTCGGACCGTTCATTTATCGCGATAAGATTTTAACACTCACTTTGTATTCAAGCTCAATTATAAAAGAATTAGTGTGACGATCATATTATCACGTAATATATACGATGTGTTATAATAAAATATAGAGAAATGAGACAATGATGCTAAAAAATTTCAATGACTTTTACGCACAAGCCGACCACGAGGGGTGTGTGGCTGTGGCACAGACAGGGCCTTGTTTAATTGGATTCTTGGGCACTGATTAAACCCGATCCAACCGCACTGCCACATTAGAGAGACGAGTTTATATTAATATTTACAAGTAATAGAAGTCAAAACAAACGTGGTCCATCGATATGGTTGGTGGGTTACCCTTTTTCACCAATTGTGTAGGCAGGCATTGACCTCATTTCGTCAGCCTTACGATTGAGGAGGAGGAGGAGGAGGAGAGGAGCATCCGAGCATGTATTTCAACTTCATTTCATAATTGCATGGGACCAACCATCCATCCACAGTGAGTGAGTGTAGGAAAATAAGAATATAAAATTTATCTCGCACTTAAACTTTGTTGTTGCCCACTTTGGACGGTACCCTTTCTTCTTCTGATGATCCATCTTAGAATTTTGATGATGTTAGTATATGTCAACAAAATATCTTAAATATTTAATTATGCTCATATATTTTATCCTTCTTTAATATATAGATGTAATTATAAAGAAATACAACCCGCTTGCTATCTTATTGATAACTCTTTTTGAATGACCATAATCATAGAATGGGGTCCACTTAAGCACCTCTCCTTTTCTGGGGTGGGTGTGTGTGTGTGTGTGCACGTGTCCATATATACCTATAAATAATTAATCATGATGAGTTTTACAAATTCATAAGTAAGAACCTGTAATTTTGATATTGTAAAGAACTTGATCTCTGCAGGTGCAGTGCAGGGATGTCTTGGGCAGTTTTCTTTTTAAGCTGAAACTCAAAGCGGCCTGGCCTGCATTTATAATTTATTTATGCTGGTGCTTCTTCTCTGCTCCCTTTATATTATACTAATCAATCAGGATCCCATCAGTATTAATTAACAGTATAATTTATTTCTTTGAGAAGACAGTATTAATTAAAGGTATGATTAAATTGTAAACCAAAGTGGACCACAATGTCATGTCTTACTTATAATTTATGGCTCTTTACCTTTTAAATCAATAATAGTTAGCTAGTCGTCCCCCAAATTTTATGTCCTAATCACCATTGTTAATTTTCGGTTAGCCATCACAAACCATATTGCATATTAAATTGTTTCTCCTGGCTATGGCTTGCTTGCTCCTCACTGCACAAAACATCCACACACAAATTAACGGGATGGGATGTCACTAAATTTGCAATTTATATATATGACTCGACCTGCGAAAACGATTCGTATTAAAGAGAAATTAATCAGCTGTCTAATTCTCATGAACACCAATAGAAAGAACATTATTACTTGATGCAATATACAAAATAAAGGGGTCTTTTTCAAGAATCATTGAAATACCATCTTCTGTGTTCTCAACCAAAAATATCAAACAATTATGGGTTTTCAAAGTCTTAGGACCATCATTTGATGTATGAGACTCATACATTTCATGTATGTATATATGTTTCTTAAACTCCCCGAATTTCTACAATTTACGCAATCTTTGATATCAGCGGGGATTCCACAATAATAATATTTTTTCCACACCAAGAGAGAGGCAAAATGTGAAACTCATTAAGATTCTTTTGTATTCTTAGGTTACTTGTTTTAGCAAATGAAATCAGTTGGAATTTGGGAAGGTTGTTCAACGATAACCTGCAAATGACAATTTCAGTTTCCCAACAATGTAAGTTTAGGCCAAATAGAAGTTCTATCTATCTATCTATTTGTTGGATATAAATATATAGATAGCCACTTTCATAAGTGCCACCTGTCATGTGACTCATGCTGTTGCGAAGTCAGTGTAAGTGGGGTTTACCCACCCAAAGAGAAAAATTGCCATGTTAACATACAATTAATTCCTTAATTTTCTAATTTAATCAGGTTCTATGTATTATTATCATGTGTTTAAGACGGAATCAAATATTATTATTGGAGAAAGAGCGAGAGAGAGAGAGAGAGAGAGTGCTTGTCTTAACTTCCAAGTTGTGATGACTGATGAGACGTGTGTTTGCTTGCTTAATTAATTTACTAATATTAGTAAACGGAGTGTATTTTGCCCTTCAAAATCTGATTAACAAAAGAATACGTACAAGATAAGAGTAGGCTACCAACCAACAAATTAACTTCCCGTCCACCCTCTCCAACTTCTGCCTTTGTACTTCGTCTTGCCTTGGATCAATATTAAAATAACATCCTTCAGACCAATATACCCTCCATTTCGTCTTAATATCAATGACCTACCTTTTGGTCTGTTTCGTATTCATTGTAAAATGACCAACAACGCCTTTCGGGATGTCCACACCACACCACACCACAAGGTTATAACTTATATCTGTAGAGCTTTTGAGGGCAAAATGGTAACTCAAATTGGATGTAGCTATGCACGTAGGAGACGTAATATGAACTGGTGATCGAGGGCAATATGAAATTTAAATGCGAGGGAGGGCGAGGGCTTCTATATCTATTCTATTTTCTATATATACAAACCACATGGGGATCGGTCGATGATAAAATTATTACGAAGGAAGGAGAGCTACAAAGACACAAAAAGAAGATGGTGAGCTACTTTTGCGGCTGGCACAAGCTTGTGAATGATTTCATCTACAAACTAGTTCTGCTAAACCTGTTGATATGCAGCTGCCTCAGCCTCAGCAGATCAGTTTCTATGGACTCGGCCGCCGATATTGATGATCAAGTACTAGTGAACAACAATAACCCATTAGACCAACTCATGTCCAGCCAACAAGATATGGTCCAAATTGCTGGATATGGAGAAGAGAAGCTTTCCACCGTCCTAATTACAGGCTCCGTCCATTGCGAGGAGGCTTGTAATAATTTGCATGCTCAAACTCATCATCCTGATCATCAACTTCATCTTCATGCATGGCCTCTCTCAGGTTTGTGTCTCTCTACATGGATTTAATTAATGCTCATTCTCTTGATAATTATATAATTAAAGAATACGTACGTACCATTATATTCATATCTATCCATATAGATATGATCAATATTTAGAACATAGCAGACTAATTTCCTAAAGCTTGCTTTTCTTTCTTTTTGTTTTGCTTGCTTACTTGAATTAAGTTGAGATTAATATCATTAATCGAAATATATAAATCTAATTTAGTTACATATATCATCTTCTCCATTTTCGTCTCTCTTCCTTTTTGTGGCAAATGTTATGCGCTTTGTCAAAGTAATATCATTACTGCGCGCAATACCATCAGCTATAACAACAATTTAGAGTAACCCAACAATATCATTAGTACTCCACTTTCATCTCTCTGTCTTCCTTAATTCAGATTGATGTGTGCTGAATCCGAGCTCAAAGTGTGAACAATTTATAAATTTCTTTTCAATTTTAGTTTCTTAAATATTAATACTTACGTTCAATATCATATATTTATTTTAACACGTGTAGAAGATGTACCACATGTCCGCACTACCGTAATATGCTATAATAACTCCCAATTTTTGTTTTTTGAATTAGTTTAGGTGGGTTGGGTTCTAGTAGTGGTTCCTCCATATTGTTTCTTTGCAAATGGCTGCTCCTTAAAGCAATCACCTCAAATTTTGATGTGCACGTTGGACCCGTGAAAATTAACATCTCCTAATTTGATTTGGACGTATTGTTTTTCTTTAGGCACAATTCAATTCATTAAAGCATTCCGCTAGATATTAATATAAAATAAGAGTAACGGGAAGCACACCTCTCTATGTATCTCTATCTTACAGTAACTTTGGACCTCGCAGAAAGCAATTCACGATCAACTTCATAATAATAATTAAGATAAACTTAATCTGAGACTTTAATGAAAAGCAAAAACATCATTTTACACTTATATGATATTCTTTAATTCGTGGATATATTTAGCTGAAATAAAGTGGAAAGGATATATTTTGCGAATTTCATTCTGACATTTTCCAATTAACTACGAAATTATTGTTCGGTCAATGTAACAATGATCTTCACCATCGCCATCATCATTATCTGCTGTTTTTTTTTTTTTTTTTTTTTTCCAAAATCTGCAGGTGCTTTGGTGTCTGTGAATTGCCATGTTAGTGGGAGAAAAAGAAAATCAAGCTTCGCACAAGGCTTTACAGATGAATTTGGGGATTTCATTATTGATCTTCCTTCCAATCTACATGCAATTCCCAACTTGCACAAAACATGTTCGGTTAGGGTAGTTCGAATACCAAAGAACACACAATGCAGACCAGCTTATGTCAGGAGGCACAAGGGACTGAAATTATCGTCAGTTGGTAACGGTATCAGGACTTACAATGCCGGAAATATAAGGTTCCAGCATTTGACCTCTAAACCATCAGAAGCATGCATTAAGATGTTATCATCATAGATACTCATTAAATTGTAGACCGGGATTCAGCACCACAGTTCATCTGGATGGCGCTTCAGTCACAGCATTGACATGCAGGGGTTCGAACCCATTCTACTTATCAGATGTAAAGTATATACAGTTATAGGAAACTATGATGACAGTTATATAATGTATGTAAAAACTGAAAAAAGAAATCATATTTTGTTATATACGCCAACTTCAAGAGATGAACATCATGACTGTAAGTTTTGCAAAATGAGAGGTGCTCTCAATCAGTCTCAAGGTCACCAACATTTTATATTTTATAGAATGACTAATTAATTAATTCATAACATGAGTGAAAAATTCTAAAACACAATTTGTCTTCAGAAATCATCTTACGGGAATTACGCAGGACTTAAACACTCTTCTGCTCAGCTCCAGAAACTATGTATCTTGCAACATCAGCGCAGCAGGTCAGCTTATCTGCTTTCTCTTCAGGGATTTCAATGGAGAATTCTTCCTCAAAGGCCATAACAAGCTCCACCCTGTCCAAACTATCCAGGCTTAAGTCCTTCTGGAAGTCAGCTGTTTCAGTAACCTGTTCAGAGGTCAAGTTGCCTGTTAATTTCTAACATTCTTGTTATTGGATGAGGACAAGGTAAATGTTGCCTGCAATTAAATTGCAGTACCAAGTTTAACAATAAGCAGTACTTAACATAATGTACTGTAATGAACATGGCCAATTGCTGGTCCATCAATTCATACAAGTATTAAACGCACAGATGAGAGGAAGACTAGTTAAACTAAAGCAGTAAGAATGAAATAACTACCTTAGATGCATCAATTTTATCAAATTTCTTCACGAGTCCAATCACTCGGTCCATTATCTGATCAGTGCTGGTAGTACCTGTTGCGGCACACATGTGGCGGCTCAGAGATTTCAGCACAATTCCTCTTTCAGTGAGCAACCATTTTTCGGCTGAACTCCCTACCCTCACATGCCACAAGATGGAATTTCTAATGCTTTGCATGTTGAGAAGTTCTGAAAACCAATAAAACTCAGTTTTAAGTTTCAAAACAGCACATAAAAATGCAGGGAAGCATCAAGATTGTGACAAACAATTAACAAATCAACATAACATGTAAGGAATGCAATCATGACCTTTTAAGGAAATATAAGAGTGTGCTTATGCATGGAATGCAAATTTGGTTGTTGGGTCACACCCTACCAAAGAGACTACTAAGGTAAAGAGGAAAAGGTGGAAGCAGAAAGGGTTCCGCCGTTAGTCGCCACAAGTAGCTAAGTAAAGCATGTAAGTAACAAATGAATGTGAAACCAAAAGCTTAAGCCATTAAGTGAAAAAGTTCATGTGACGGTATTATTATACTCATACTAACAATTGTACTCAACCAACATTAGATTTCTGCTTTAATAATATGAAACCTTGCATTCAAGATATTGATCAGCCACTACTGTAACCCTGCCTAGAATAGAACTTGGTTAGTTAAAAGCAGCGATAGTGCTTGCCTAGACCAGCTGCATTCTGCAGTGCTCCTATCAAAGAAAACAAAAAAGACCATCTGCAGTGCGGCCCATGTGTAGGCATGTATAATTGTGCAGTACCATAGCAAGCTGACAAAACCAAACAGCATTGCATTGTAAACACGAAAATGAAACAATAGAATGCAGTACAAATTTGCCATTTAGTTCAATTTCGATCAGAGAAACCAGAGAATGGTGTTGGGTTACACAAAAGTAAAAAACAGTGAAAAGATTAAGTGAGTGGCAAGGTGCTAAGAGTGGAGAAGGGACAAATATGCGAGGAAACAAAGTAGAGACTGATCACTCACGAGACTGCCGGTGTGGTTCGCTCGCTGTGTGTTTGCTTAAATGCCGCACTGAAAACAAATTCTTGAAACAAGGTGTGGGCGCTTTTCCTGTTTTTCAGGTCGCTTTACGGAGTGGAGGCCTTTGTCTAAGAATATATGTAGTGTATAGATATACCTGCTGCCGACCAATGAGTATGCGAGAGGGTGATTGACGGAGCCTAATGAATCTTATTTCAGAAGCCCAATCCAACCGAGGCCCAACCCCGCTCTCTACTTTTAAACAATTATTTAATTGCCTACATTATTTGTTTTGTCTATGTGGATTCCGTGTCATTAAAAAATGAGTCCTACAACTGTCACATTAGTATTTAACAAAGTCATTAACAGTTTAGGTAATGGAGGGGTACTTTATAAGTTTTTCGTGACTTTGAGTATGTACTTGTAAATATCTCAAAAAAATGAGTATAAACTTGAAAATGACCTAATAATTTGGGAGGTCTGTTGTAATTTGTCTTACTTTATTTTATATCAAGTAACTCGTAAGTAACTCATAATCTAATGATGATTTTCTTCTCGAAGGTGAAAGGGATCCAAGCAAAAAATAAAAATAAAAAGGGTGAATGGGATCTCAAATTCAAAACCCCCCACCTCTCCAATAATAATAATAATAATAATAATAACAACATAAATTGAAAATTACTCTACTTAACACGCGAGAGACACACTCTACTTGCAATAAGGAAAGAAAATGAACAGACAAAATGAATTCTTAAAAAAAACAAATTGATACTCAAAGAAAAATATACGTAAAAGGGAAAGGAAAGGAAAAGAAAGACACACTCCTGAAAGTGAAGGGCCTTCATCGTCCTTGTGGGTTGTAGGGCTGTAGAGTTTGTGGGTTGTGGAGGGGAAGAGAAAGGACTTAAAAGGCAAAAAAAAAGACTTTGTCAATACGATGACGTGAAGAGCATCCCCATTAAACCAACAACATCATTGGGTTACCATTCGATCTTCCAAACTCATCGGAGATTATTACCTCTTTTTTATTTATTATTGTTTATTATTATTACTCATCGATCAATTAATTACTTACCCTTGTTTTTTCACTTTCTTCTTTCCATCTGCCCCCTCCCTTTCTTTGTTGTTGCTTAGTGCTTCTTAATCTAATAATCTCTCTCTCTCTCTCTCTCTCTCTCTCTCTCTCT